CTTGAGACTTCTAGGAACACGCTGGGGACAGTGGGAATGGTGATCCTGAGAGGCTCTGCTCAGTCAGGCTGTTTTGCTTTGTGTCCAAGTGCTAAGGCGTACTGGGGTTGTATTTAACTGAGAATCAGGCAGCTCAGGTTACAGGTGAACAGCTTTCAGTCTTGGGACATTTCTGCATTGTACTTAACTGAATAATACCTTCCCTTTCTTCTTCTTTTTTTTTTTTTTTTTTTCCTCATTGATCAAGCTGCTTTTGAGAAAAGTGATACTTTGCATATCTGGCTAAGTGCTGTTAACAGCCTCTGCCTGCGGTTTGTTAAAATTAAAAAAAAAAAAAAAAGAAAAAGGAAAAAAAAAAGAAGTGTGATCTTGCTGGAGAAGTAATTTGCTTCTCTCCAACCAATGATGGCTTGCACTTTATGCAAATTGGTATCTAGGGACAACAAATCCCATTTAATACATATGCATAGTTCATAAAAAAAACGACGTGAGAGAAAGAGAAAAAAGATAAAGCAACGAGTCAGCAAAAGAACAGGTTCCGAGGAAATTTATTGTCCCAAATTGGACATTTGTAACAGATGATGTGAACAAGTGTTAACTTTGTTTTCAGCAGCTCTTCACGTACATTCACTAGACATCACACAGATTATGTTTTAAGGATCTGAACTGTAATAAAAAAAAGTGTCTGTGGGCTTTGGAGTGTTGTGTTCCATATGGTTGGGGAAGTGCGGAGTTATTGCGACAAGCATCTTGTGAAGCTCATTACGCACGGCGGTGTGAGATGCGAATTGCTGTGCATCGCTATAGGGTACGTACATGACATCCCACAGTCAGCAGATAGCAACTGGAAATGAAAGATATGAAGGCACAGAGTACAGCTTCAGGGAACATGTTAGACAAAACATCTGCTGGTATCAGAAAGCTGCATTATCAGATCATTGTGGCCATGAATTTTTTATAAAGACTTTTTTTTTTTTTTTTTTTTTTTTAAGCTGCAACTTTGAAAGTGACATTTTGCGAGAAAGTTTTTGATTGAAGTGTGATGTCAGGAGAAAGGCCAGTCTAGTTTATTATCTGTGTAAGAGCCAAAACTGGCAGCCTGAATCAGCTCCTTTCTCCAAGCAGTTGAGTTGGCCATTCATGTACTACAAGAGCTGTTTCTTGATGGCTGATAAAACCTCGACCCAGGTCACAGGTTGGAGCTTTAGTGCCAAGCTCCTCAGCCAGGAGGTTTCAAAGTTTTTGCTCCTATGGCGTGGCTGGGGGCTGCTGAACTAAATTCACCCCAAAAGCAGAACCCTTCTGTTCAGAAGGTGGAGCAGAGCAAAGCAAAGCTCAGCATCCTCACCTAATTCCCCCTTGAGGGGACCTGTGCAGGCTCCGGGTACCTTCGGTATCCACTGCCCTGTGCAGATCAGCTGCTCTGTCAGGGGTGGCCGTGTCTAAAAATCCATCACATGTTTGTTGCTTGCTGAACCTTCTTAGCCCCCCAGGCTGTTTTTTGGGAGTGTTGCCCTGAGCCATGGACGTTTCCCTGCTCAGAGGGGCCTCCTACCTACTTAACATTCCTGACGGTTCTGAGGGCAGCGAGATGGCACGAAATGTATGTGCATAGTGTAACTATTTACGTTAAATGGACAGGCATTTTCCATCCTTTCACCTCTCCTGACCGAGCTGTGAATTTTCCTGCAGCAACAGGTACCAATAGAAAACCTGTCTCTGGTTTATCTATAGATGGTCTCTCTCTCTATCCAGTCAAATGCCTCAAAAGTGCATCCCAAAGTGAGCAGACTGATTTCCTGAGCTGATTCACAAATAGTTGCCTTAAAGAAAAGACCAAAATTACCCTGATTTTTTTTGGTTTTCCTAAACCTTCTCCGTGTTTATGTGTAAGAGGGTGGGAGAATGGAGGGACATGTCCAAAAGCATCGTGATTTATGAAAGGATTTAGTTGTCGGCAGCAATTTTTTGTGTAATGCTGTTCATTAATGTAATGGGGCTGCAGAGAGAGCCCAGGGATGGTTCATCCTCTGTCACTGGTACTTAGAGAGCCTGGAAGTAAGTGAGAGATTGTGCTGGGCTGACCTGTTGCTGAACAGGGCAGTCATGAGCTGAGGGATAGAGGAGGAACGGCGCTCACGCTGCAACATCATTTTCCCAACTGCTGCCTTGCAGTAGCATTTAAAAACAGCAGGTGTGTAGGACATGCAGATCCAGCTTTGGCTGTGTCGCTTACCTAGACAGGAACTACATCAGGGAGGTAATTCAGTGTTCTTGCCATTGTACAAAAATAACCCTAATGGGTTTTTGTGATTGCTTCCTTGGGATGAGAGGTTTAGAAAATACTGAAAGATAAATTTAGTGAAAAAAGAAGCAGATCAAAGCTGAGTCGTTGTTTGCTGGTTTGTTTTGTTGTTGTTGTTTTTTAAAACCTGTTTAATTAGAGTTTGGAGGTTGGAGGTTTATTATGAGTGGAAATTTTGATTTTAGCTTGCTCATGTATGTGGAAATGAAAAGCTGAATGTGGATCTGCATTTCCCAGAGGCATCTCCACTGGACTGACTTGTACCTGTGTGTTCAGGTGTGAAGCTCCCAAACCCTGGGATGCTCTGGGTTGGAAGGGGGATGAGAAGGAAATCTGACCTTGTCTGAATTTTGGTAATCAAGGAGATCTTTATAGATGTAAAAATGTGAATCAGAGCCTACTACATTTTTAATATTCTTTAAAAGAGTGAAAAGCTCCTTTATGTGAAGCTCAGTGTTCCTTTACTGGCTGCACACCCACACCTGCAGGGAGCCCGAGGAAGACTCTGCATTGGATTCCCACTGCCTAGTGGGAACTTGCCTGGGCAGGCTCCTCTCTCCACACTGGAGATGTTTTCCTCTGTACCTGTGTCCCAGCATCCTGGCAGGAAACTGTGTGTGCCTGGAGTCAGGAGGCTGGCAGTACTGCAGCCCCTCAAAATGAGACATCAACCACATTTCTTCTTAACTGTTGTTGTCCTATGCACCGACCCAGCACTGAGCAAAAATGAGTCCTGCAGTCAGTCCTGTGTGTACAAAGCAAGCAGAAACATTTAACTGCCTCTTTGGGCAGGCAGTCAGGTACTGCTTCATCTGCAAGCCAATATATCAACATTTACTAATAGGTCTGTGCTAGTGCAGTAACTAAGTTTTAATAGCAGAGGCTGAAACCTGGACGTATAGTCCTTCCCATCCTTTTTTCCCCACCTTTGCTTTCAGTTTGGGTTTTCACCATGTTTGAAAGATTTCCTTGGCTGTTCTTCAACTTTTCTCTGCCTCTGTGTGCTCTCCCTGGTAGCAAAACTATTTCTGAAGAGGTAAGAGATGGAATAGGTATGATTTGCAGAGATGGAATAGGTATGATTTCCTATAGAGCATGTATGCATGTACGTGTAGAGATATATAAATACACACACACACGTGCATATGTATATGTAAATTTGGCAACGTATATAAAAATTCTGGAATATGGGAAGCTTGTCCCTGGCCCAGGCAGTGTGTGCAGTCAGCAGAGCAAGCAGAGGGGGCAAAGAGCTGGCACTGGGATGTGGCGGGAGAGCGTGGAAGAATATATGGACGTGCAGCTAATGAGAAAGGAAGGGAAGTGGCTGCAGGGGAAAGAGATAATAATGGGTCCCAAATGTGGCAAGCACATGTGCTGCCATACAGCAAATGCAAAGTGCCACCACCAGTGACAAGTGGATTGCACCTAAGGAAAACAGCTGTGCCAAGCGCCCAAGTCCACAGTCAGCCTCCCGACCCCGCGTCTCCCCGCCTGACGCGGATTAGACTGGTCAGGTCTGGGAGCTGCTCTGAGCCCACGTTCCACAGGAATAACGGCTCAGCACATCTCTGAAATACCCCTTGCACGGCTGCCTGTTCTGCATTTGCAATCCTGCATTTGTGAGGTGGTTTTATTTTGGTTTATCTTACTTAACTTATTCTGCTGTGCCCGGTACCACACAAACACTTTGACTGTCTGTGTAGATCATGGTTTAGTGCAGTTCTGTGTTACAAACCCTCCCACATAACCCTATTATTTGTTAATAACTTTCCTGTTTTGAAGAAGCGCCCTTTGACACCTGAGCTGCATCTCCTGTTCTTAGGCATAAATATAATTGTCCCTGGTGAAGAGCATCCCTCTGACTGGTCCTATCTGCTCTGTATATATTTGAATATATAAAATATTAATAAATGATGCCAAATGTTTAATCATATCCATTTGACTCTATGAGAGTTGGTGTCTGTAGGCTTTCTGTGTTAACTGCTTCTGTGATATGTACATATTGCTGACTTGTTGTTGATCTCGAGTTTTTAAAGCAAAATAAAACTGAGGTTTGCAGTTTGATATGAATTAATCAGGTCTGATTAGACAGGAACAGATCAGGAAATCCCCGAATCTCTCTAATTCAATTTCATGTGTTACTCGGAAAGAAATATTTCATAGCTTAAGTGAAAGTGCTATTTATTTAACACTGGTTTTTTTTCAGAGTGGGGCATTATGATGATGATCAGGGTGTAGGAAAGAAAGCATTTTATTCTACGAAAAAACAGATATTTTAGAATGGAGTCACCTGCTGGTAGATCTCATAAATGTACATAAAAAAATGTTTCCTAATATTATTAGTTTGGTTTCTTTCTCCACATCACCCTGGCTGCCCATCTGGAAGCCTCGATAGCTGAGCCACAAAACCAGAAGACTGTATTTAGTTGAATAAGCCAATTTAAAGAGAAAGGTTGGAATTATGTATGGCAGAGGACAGTTATGCAAACTAAATGATTCTTCAAGTAATGATGAGATCCATGAAAGGCAAAGGAGAAAGGACCCTCCTCTGAGGAGGAGAAGGCAAGTTCTCCTTCCAGGGTGTGCAAGGGTTGGGAAGTGGAGGGACAGGCCAGGGATGCTCCCAGCCAAAACCTGAGGGGCTCTGCTGATGGTGGGAAGTCCCCAGTGGGACCTTTGCTTTCCCAAACAGGTTCTCCTCTGATGGTGTCCATCTCACAGAGCTCTCTCAGGAAGCAGCAAGTGGAGCTGGGCTGTGTGAGCACCTGCCAGGACCTACACTGTGAGTACAGTGCTGGAGGCACCGTAATCCCAACCCACTCCTCCCTTCCTCCTCACCCTCCGGAAAACAGGCCAGAGAGACACAAGCCCAACTGCAGAGCCACCAGTTTGGCTTTTTCATGCAGCTTTTATCCCTCTTTTAAATGCCTGACTGTTGTGTGCCAGAGCAAGAAGCCATATGTTAAAGATGTTAAAGAGCAAATACTTCGCAGCCAGTACCAGCATGTGGAGTCGGGGGGAAGCGGGAATGACGCTGGGAGAAGGGGGAAGGAGTGATTATCTGCTAGTGATTATTCGGGAGGGCAGTAGTGGGAGGTGCTGTAAGTGACAGGGATTCACTATGGGACGCAAATCACTTAAGGCAAAGCCATTAGGATCAATTTAAAATACCAAAGAGGGAGGCTAAAGTGACAATAGCATATTTTAATTGAAATCACAAATATCAGTCTGCAAGATATGGTTTAAAAGACTGGGCAGAGTTACTTTATCTGAACAGAGGAAAAAGTTTTCCCTTTTTTACTAAAAAAAAAAAAAAAAAGGCAGAGAGGCAAAGATCCAACTGGAACTGTGGTGTTTTTCTTTTTTTAAATTTTAAATCCCATTTATATTTTTTTCCTATTTTAATATTCTCTTTTCTCTTTATGGTCATGTTATAAATGGAATTAACTACATTACTAATGCTTTTAATTTGATTTTAATAGAGCCTAGGGCTGAAGCATGGAATCAGCGTGTGTCCCATTAAAGGAAAAATACAGTTACAGGGACAATAAATAGCATGTCCAGATAAACACATTTATGCCTTAGTTTTATTTATTGAGCTAAGTAGCCCATGAACAGAGACTGGGGTTTTTTTTTCAGACACTTTTCCAAAGCTGAAGTCCATATGATGAGATTGTTACTGGTTTTGGCACAGCAACGTGAACTTGGTAAAAGAGCCTGGCATGGAAATCCACCGAGTTCTGACATATTCCATTTGCTCCAAACTCTTTGATTTCTGCTCACAGAATCTGACATGTGTTGGGCACTGACCTTGCTCTTTTAAATAAGCTTATTTTAGAGGACCTTTGCAGAACGCTGTGTGTTTGGCCTCGATGTAAGCTGTTAGGGAAATGTAGTACAAACACAGAAGTTGTATGTTTTGAATGCCAGAGATGTTGAGCTGCAGAGCAGTCGGTAAAAGCTGTACTTCTGACAAAAGCTGGACTGCTTTCTGTGCTCTTAACAAATGTCCTTAAAGAAAAGAAAAAATTACTTAATCCTTCATTTGTGTGAAGGATTTTTATTTATTTATTTTTTAGCAGGAAGTTCGGGACCAGATTTCTTTTTCAGTCTGAAATATTCCCATCGGGCTCTCAGACACTCAGTGGAGTGAAAGCAAACATTTTGAAAATTAAGTGATTGTCCCGGGTCAGAAATTCCAGAGGGTCAGTGTCTTATTGTCCTGTAGAATCACCTCCCTAAATGTCTCTGAATAGAGGCACTGGGACACAGGAGGGACTTCCCCAAAACTTGGCCTTTCCTTTATGGAACACCCCACTTCTCTCAGTGAGTTTCAAGAAGAGCCAAAACCTTCAGTGTGGAGATTTGATTTCCATTTGTCACAGGGGAGCAGCTGGTATGGAAGTTCACAGTCAAAGTGCTGCAGTCTTGCAAATGCCAGCTTGCAGCACTGTGCAAGGAAACAAATCACCGGGCCCCAACATGGCAACACTAATGAGAGAGGGATTGAAATAGGTATTACAAATGCCCTGCATTCAGCCTCTACCTGCTCCAGTCACTATCCTGTCAACAGCCAAAAGCAGAAAGAAACTTGGAAACAGACTTGGGATGTTGATGTGGCAGACACACTCCTGTACCCTTTACTTGGCCTTTGAGGTTTGGAGCCTGGAAATTTAATCAGCTGGAGAATGTGTCCCTGGAAAGGGTTGTTGAGTTTAGCCGTATCTGAGTAAGTGGCAGTAATATTCTACACATAGGAAAACAGGGATTAAATTGCAAAAATAAATGTAGATTTGAATTCGTGGTGGTGTGTAGCTCTTCAGGACAAAACCTGGCTCCATGAGCAGCAAGGAGAGGGAGCAGGGCTGTGCCAGAACATTAATAACCCTCTTCCTTGGCCCGTGGACAGCCCTGCACACTGGATTCCTCTCAGAGAGCTTGGCTCAGTTGGCCTCCCAAGCACACAGGAAGGGCATGAAGACCTGTCTCTGTTGACACTGGGTTAAGAGGCTGGGAGGGTTTGACGTGGAACATTTCCTTGGCTAAAGGACCCAGGAGTGGATTTTTTTACCTCTCTCTGCAAACCCCTCTCCCTGATTCAGCAGCAGTGAAGGGAAACCCTCCCGTTCCTATGAATAATTCATCTGTAGCACATACACAGGGTTCAGAGCCTGACCCAGGCAGTTTTTTAGGGAAATAAGTGAGCATCATGCCATCATTGCCAGTGCTGGTGGCTGCTCCATGTAGGATGAGTTGGAGCTGTGCCATCAGTCAGCGGGAGGGACGGCAGAGCTGCTGCCCCTCCTGCAAAGGGAGTCTGCCTGAAATTCCCTTCACCATCACTCACAGCCTCTTTTTGCCTCTTTTTTTTTCAGGGAAATGGCTTTTATTTGTTGGGAATTCTTCATACAGAACAAAAACTAAATAATGTAACATATTCTGGGTTCTGGGCAGATAATAAATGAAAGGGCCGGGGTGTTTGTGCAAGTGGAATGATAGTGACAAGCACCACATGAGGTCCCTGAAGATGGTGTCAGGGGACTCGATCCCCCACAAAATGATGAAAGACTCTGATGTAATGGTGTTTTGCGAAACAATTCGAACATAAATGCCTCTTTCCTTCCCATTAACAACTGGCTGCCATTGTAGCAGGATTTTTTATTTTTTTGATATGGATTTTGAGCACACTGAGACCAAAAAGTTTCATTGTGGTAGTGCTGCTGGAAGGTTGTGGTGCACTAAGAATTGAAATGCAAATCACACTTAGACACAGCCTCCTGCTGAGGCCCAAATTTTTATAGATCAGGTTCTGCAGTTCTGATGAAGAATCAGTGATCTGCCTTTTCTGGGATTCACAAATCAGCTACAGTCTAAGGCACCATTTCCTACGACAGAATTGTAACTTGCCGGATGAAAGTTTGTCACTGAAGACAGTTCCCTGATCTTCCACTAATTTTTCCAGCTGCAGTGCCACTAAGGATCCTTTCGCACACAATGCCAACACACACATCACAGCTCCCCACTCTGCAACATGTTCTTGCTAAATATAAACATACTGTATATATTGATCCTCTCCCCCTTGCTTTTTTTTCTCCCCCAGTGTGCAGGTGGTAAAACATTGGCTGCCATGAACTTCATGATCAAAAAAAAAAAAAAAAGAAAGAAGGAAAAGCTGTGGTTTGGAAGCTGCTGGATAGCAAACTGCAGGCTGGGAATGTGGCTGCTGAAACCACTACAGGGATAACGGGGCATACACACGTTTGTGGATAATTCTGTTTGCTAATTGCTCCTGAAATTTCAGGTAAGGAATATTCAATTTGTTATAATAGGTAATATTATAATAGGGTTTTGCTTTCCAGGGTGGCTTTTTTATTATTATTATTGTTATTATTTTTATTGCTGTCATTACAAATGCAGGGCTCTCTGTAACTGGAAGAACAGTTTACAGAGAGGCTGGGGCAGTGCTGTGAGGCAGCACAGAATGTTTTTAGCTGTGGACATGGCAGCAGTAACAGCCATGTCTCCAGGCCCTGCTGTATCCCAGGGCAGGATGTGTTCCTGCCTTCCAAGGGGAACTGCTCTTCCTTCCTTCCTTCCGTGCCTGCTCGTGCCATCCCTGAAGCACAGGATCCATGACCAGCCCACAGCAGGTACATAGAAAAGCTAAAGGAGGCAGATCCTGCTCTCTTCTAGAAATGGGGTACAAACCCATTTTTATAGGGCATCTGAATGACAGCAACGCTCAGTTCTTAACCATTTTTAGCTGGAACCTAAACACAAGGAGGGAGCTCTGCTTCTCAGTGCCCTGAACCACTGAGGCCTCCCAGGAACTGTTCTGGTTGCCCCTTTCCCTGCCAGCTGTTTAGAGGTTCTTGACTCTTCAAAAATGTGCTGAAAATTATCACCCACAGTGATCACAAGCTCAGAGCCAAGTCCCTCCAATTCGCATCCATTTGCCATCCTGCAACTTTAACTAGTTCTGCTACTTACTACTAATTAGCTACCAGCCAATACTAATGGCTACCACTGCTGCAGCATTGAGGAGTAACACACACATTAATGAGAATTAGCATTTGTTGACGGCCATGGTGGGAGTTGTCTGTGTGCAGCATTTCTGGGGTCCCCGTTGCTGTAATGTTTGATTGCCTCCTCCGGTAATTACCACTGACACCGAGCAAGTTTTGCGTAGGTCTCACTTGGCTGTGCAGAGCTGAAAGATGTACTGGGCTCTGTTTGTGCTGAAGAGAGAAGAGGCCAGTAATAATACATTTCCCAGTAACATCCCCTCTTCTCCCCACTCCCCTCACACGGGCCACACGGTGCCAAGGGATGGGGTTGGCTCTGCTGCCGCACTTTTCCGTGCTTTGTTGTCCTTCATGAAACTCTCTTTCACTACTTTTGGAATATGTACAGAACCATTTAGTCATTTTAACTTAAAGTCAATTGCCTCCTTCATTTGGGAATGGTAGTTGAAATGCTACAGAAATTTGGCACAGCAGCAGCAAGTTAACTCTGGTGGGCCTTTCCGTGCCTATGCAAAAGAGGGTGCGTAATCGGAATTAAAGCAGAGGGAACATGGAGAAATACGGGCCCCTTGTAACTCTTGCAGGGAATATGAGCACATGGCTGGCCCTTCTTTAGGAATGCCAATTGCCTGTTTGGAAAAAGAGGTGCTGGGGAACGTCCCTGTCTCCCTGGTCAGCTTCCTGAATCCGCTCTGCAGAGAGGCACGCGTTGCACATCCAGCCTGCGGGTCTGGCTCAGCCTGGCGCTGCAAGGGGAGCTTTTTCCATGCGCTACTGTGGAAAGGAAGCTGCTCTCACCCTCACCCTGAGGAAGATGAGCTATAGGAATATACAAGGGGCTTTTTTTATAGCTCGGGGGCCAGAAGGGGAAGCAGTGGTCATGAGCAGAGACTGGAAGTTGGCTTGTTAAGTAAATCTCAGGCTGTAGCTGGTTTTAATTTATTTTTTGTTTTATGTGCAGGAGACTAGGCCTTGCAGGCCTGGCTAATATCAAAGCCTGGGGGTTTGTAGATTTTTAATCAAGGTCCACTTTGGGGGGTTCTGCTTTCGGGGCTTGTGGATATGTAGGATTTTTTTTGTCATGTTTTTCTTCTTTTTTTTTTCTTGCTGCAGTGTCTGGATTTCTTTAGTTCAACTTTTCCATTCTTCAGACTTGAGCCAAGTGAGCGATTTCAAATTACCCAGCACTTTCCAGAGAGGCCTTTTTTGTTGTTTGTTTTTCTGGTTTGGGATATTTTTTTTTTTTTTTTTCAGCAGACTTGCAGTCCAGTTTCTCTGAAAATCCCAGGTGGTATCACAGTCCCACCCCATTGCCTCTCACTAATTTGGCAATCTTCACACGTTCTAAATAGTTTATAGTTCATCAAATCTGTAGGAAAGGAATTTTATATCATTTTTTTGTTTGTTTTGTCCCTCTGCTGGCAGGAAAAGTAAATCCCAAAGTATTTCAGCAGGTGCTATTAATATGCAAATAATGGAGAGTACACTAGGTCTAATAGACCTCCCAACTACATGGGAGGTGTCGCTGTTGGAGCAAATTAGCTTTCCGTAATTTGCATGCTTTTCACAGCCTCCTGGGATTATATTTTAGATCAGAGACAATAAAAGCATATGCTGTTAGTTTAAAATGTAACTAATTTTAGACTTTGAAACCATTTTAACCTAACTCCTTAGTGTTAAACTGTTATTTGCAAAGAAACTTTTCACAGAGCTTGTCATTGTCACGGCCTTTCTCTTCCCCCATTAACTGCTCTGTCTCTCTTTTCAGGTTGAAAGAGAAGAAGGGAATCTTCCAGGTGGCTGTGTCTTGAAAAGCAGGTATTTCTCACAAACCCAACTCCAGATTGTCCTAGTCTGGTTCTAAATTTGCATTCAGGTTCTGAAGGGGTCTAGATTGAGCTTTTTGTTTCAAACTTCTTTGGCATCTCCGTGAGTTGTAAATCCATCCAAAAAGGATGCTGTGGCCCCTGCTGACCACTCACAGAGGGAGGAAGCTCATAGAACCAAAAAATCCTTTCTAACTCACCAAACCAAAGAGTCCCTGAGCTGATGTGGCACAGATGCCCAGTGCACTTGTTGGAAAATTCTGTTTAAAACAAATGGGAAGAAGAAACAGGGATTCCAGTGCAGGTTCATTGTAGTCATCCCTGAACTGTACTGGCACGTTATTGATGGCACTTTCCAAATTGGTATTGACTGCAAAAATCACACTGCTGACGCCTGTGTTTTGGGACAACTTGGATGGCGGGGCAGCAGCTCTCGTGCCTGAGGCTTTGTGTCTGTATTTCAGGTGCTGCTGTGGTTGCTTCCTACCCGACCGTGCTGCACTGCTCCAAGCGACTGGCCAGGTGGGTGCTCATCCCCCATCCTGCTTCTTCTCCTCTGCCCCTGCTCAGGCTCTGTTGAGCTGTTGGGAGATGGTTCTCCTGGCTCCTGACTGCCCCATCTCCTCCTGCCTGGAAGGGCTGCAGCAAGAGGCCTGTGAGAGCAGCAGCAGGTTTAGGTGGTGCAGAGGAGCCTCAGCACTCACGGAGCCTGCGGGAGGTGGAGAGGCAGCCCGTGTGTTCTGTCTCTCTGCCAGCTGTCCCGGTGCCCAGAGGATGTGATTTGTGAGTTTCCTTTGGCACAGCTGCTCCGCTGCTCGTACATCTCCGTGCAGGATTTCCAGGTCAGTTGGTCCGTGGGGTGGTGGCCGTCTTTTATTTCAAGAGGGACAGAGTTCAGGGGTAGGATCAGATGTGTGGAGGGGATGGCAGCCAGATGGAGATCAAGTCAGCATTGTCAAATTTATTTCTGGCATGGGAAAGGTGAGTGTTAGCAAGAAAGAGAAGGTCTGAGAGATGTCCTTTGACACAAGGCTGGGAAAAAAATCTCTTGGGATGCAACTTGGGCCATACAGCAATATGGGGTAATATTTTTGGGGCCACAACTTTGCCATCAATGTTTTCAAAAATATATTTCACACAGACAATATATAGAAATACCTCCTGAGTGTTCTCTAAATGCCCTCCTACCACCCCAAGCTGGATTTCCTCTGGCGTGTGCCACACATGCCATCCCTGGTGCCCCACAGGTCTTTGTGCCACTACTGCACAAACCTGAAGGAGGTTCAGTTTTAAAATAAAACAATGTGAAGGCAACAAAGTGCTGGAGATGACTTGTGATAGTCTCTTTGAAAATGCTAGGTGCTTTTTTTCCCCCTCTCATCTCACCCTAAATGTTTTCTAGCATAAATACCAGTGACCTCTCACTTCTGTTGCTTCTCATTAACAGGGTGCGGTTTGCCTATTAATAACCCTGGGCACTGGCACTGGAAACACTTGCTTTATTTAAAATTAAAAACAAAAAAAAAAGAGAAAAAAAGGGCTCTGATTACTCAGGTGTCGATAGAAGAAACTGAGATGTTGTGCCAGATGGCTGCATTTGTGAAGCAGAGTGTAGTCAGAAGGAAAGTGGAAGGAGACAAGGCAACTGTACATCACAAGTGTGAAAACATGACCAAAATACCTTCAGCCTTGTTTCACCAACACTTGATTAGGAGGCAACTGTGGTGAGATGCAAGCAAAGAAAAGCAGGAGGTGACACTGTTGGGAAAACAAAAATGCCTTTCAATAATGAACTGCTTTGCTTCCTCCAGCAAAAGCTTAGAAGGTTACAAAAATCAGGAGGTTTTGCATTAAATGGAGGGCCTGTGGGCCAGTAAAGTACTGTGTGTGGTGTCAGTGCAAAGCACCACGTGCAGCACAGTAAAAGATTGCTAGCAGGCTGTGTCATGGCTTTAGTTTGCATTAGAGCAGGATGTGCTGCTGCCAGTCACCAGTAAGTAACCACTGTCCCCAGCTCCCTGACAGTCCCCAGCTCCGTGCTGTGGCTGCAGATGTCCAGGAAGGGTTTTCCAGTACCACTTGGGAGGTGCTGGATCTCACCTCAGACACGTTCATGGCGTTTGCTCATTGCTTTCCTGTGCTCACACAAGTGGTACCCAGCAGCCCCTGGTTGGGGTCTGGGGTAGTGACAGCTCTCAAAAGTGGGAGGTTTTGGTAACACCATGGGCTGGTTTGTGCCCCAGGCTGTTTGGACATGTTTCTCACAGGAGTTGAGAAGCTTTATTCAACTTTTGATGCCAGGGCAAAGTATGTGCCGAGACTGTAAAAGCCTTGGCAGGACCATGGGTGAGTCCTTCATTACCCTTTTATATCCTGAAACGGATCCTGGGTACTTTGAGCTTTGCTTCCATGATGAAGGTTTTGGCTGTCACACAGGGAAAATTTTAGAATAATTTGATCTGAGATCAGAAATCCAATTTTTTTTTTTTTTCCATGCTTCAGCTGGCTCTGCCCAGCCTGTTTTGCAGCTCTGTGCTCTCTCCTCCTCTGTGGTCTCTCAGGGAAAAAGGGGAGCTCTGACATGGGCACAGATCTCTGAGGGCTTGTTCTCTTGTAACTTGGCCTTGGCTTTGGCCTTGGTTGAATCTTGGTTTATAAACTTGGGTTTCATCACGAGAGTCTGAAATCCTAGTGTTCTTAGATTGCAGTTTGATTAGGACATCACAAGGAAAATCTGTGTTAATTTTTACCAAAACCATTTCCACATGGCTTTCTCACCCTCAGCCTCCAAAACTACTTCAGCTTTCACAGGTACTTTCTAGCAGTGAACTTTATCCAAATACATTGAAGGTAGGTTGCTAACAACAGGTACAGAGGATGTGGCAGGAACATGTCTCTTCTTCTGATTCCTGCTCTGTTGCTACTAAACCTTGAATGTGAAAGTTTCTTTTATTTTTATAAAATCTGAATTTCTGTAATAACTTCGGATCAAAAGTTTAGTCTCCATGCCAGGAAGATGTTGGGTTTTTTTATTTGCTACAAACTACATTGTCTTATTTGGGGAGTATGTTCACAATTGAGAAAGAATTGCCTTTATTAACAAATCAAAAGCTTGTGCTGTCAAAACTGAAATCGTTCTACCTTTTTATGTGCAAATTAGAGCTTCTGTCAAACCTTCAGCCATGGTGCATTTAATTTGTGGAAATATAAAAATATCTGGCTTAATATTAAAATATTCTGCAAGGGGAAGGAAATACTTAACATGATGCATTGCAGTCAAGATTCTCAAAAAAATCAGATTTGAAAGAAAGAAAGTGGTGTTTTAATAGAACTTATTTTCCCTACTTTTGCCAAAGTTCAGAGCAGTACTTAGAAGTGTATTTGAGTTATACAGGTGTTTGAGTATCTGGTTGGATCATGGCCTTTGGGAGTGAACCAAGTTAAATGTTAGAGTGTCCAGGGCAGCCGAGCTACATCCGCTTTGTTTTTCCTTAGAAAAGTGTCACAAGATCTATTTTTTAAATTTTTTAATTAATGGCAGAGGTACTGGGAAACTTTTGAGTCTGGATTCATTATAAGTTCAGCTAAAACATAAAAAGCAACTCCAGGTTTCACAGTGATCACTTGTGTTTTGGAAGGTCTTTGTAGAGAGGATAAAATTCTGATTATCTGAAGTTGGGCACCGGTTCTGTATTTAGGATCCCAAAATAAAGAGCTGCCTGTTTTCCCAGCAGTGCCCGGATGCTCCACCGTTTGGGAAAGCCAGCATGGTGTGCCTGGTTGTCCTACTGTTGGCCTGTTTCTGTTGGGAGAGGAAGGAGAATCGTGGTCTCCAACTGCAGCGCTGCAAACCCCCTGCAGGACCCCCTTGTCAGCGTCTCCAGCTGCCTTTTGGCTCGGGCTCTTTTTGTAGCATTCCTGCAGGCTACTTCACGATTAATTCCCAGCTCCCCTTCTGTGACCTGGGAGCCTTTGCCACAGTTCTGTGGGAGGAGGGGTCCTGTCCAGGCAGGCTGTGTTTGCCCGTCGGTTTTTTCCAATCAGATATTCTAATATCCCGGCCTGTCTTTGGGGAGGTTTTAACGATGCCGAGTCCATTTTACCTCATTATTTCCAAGGCCTGAACCAGGGACATTTGCCCTTCTGCAGAGCTGAGAGGGGAGTAAGTGGCTGTTTCTTGAGGAGCAGACTCATTCCCTGAAGTGGCCCGTTCCCAGTGCTCGGGGCAGTGCATGCAATTATCCTCTGGAAAAGGCCTCTGGAGCAGTGCATTAGTATGTGTGTGTCTAGGCTGGGATGTGCCCAGGAAATCACAGCCCAGGTGTTGTGTTTCCTGCCACCTGGCCCACTCCAACACTCACGTGGAAAAGCCCTTCCACCCACACCAGAATAGTTGTGACCACCCACTTCTTGTCACAGAGGGTATGAAAAGTATTTGATGAATGTTATCAACTGTCAGAAGTTCCTTTTGGGTGGTAAATGATTGTCTCCAGGCACCCAGAGCACTCAGTGCTCTACTGCTTTTATGCCAATGTTGTTAGCAAGGCATGATTCCACCATCCTGGGGTTTAATTTGTCTAATTCTTCTGGGTCATCTCTGTAAGGGAGTTTCCACAGGCTGAATGTGCAGTGCATTAAACATGAAGGTGTTTATTAGCCCATTAGCCATAATTAATGGCAAGGCAGCTACTGAGGCTGTGGGTTGTCCCAGGTTTTGCCCACATTCTCTTTTCATATCCACTCCCCAGCATGAATTTATATGATCTTCATATTCTGCCTCTCACCATTAGAAACCAAGAAAGTGGTTTGGGTTGGGATCTCCTGTTTCAGGCCATAAACATATGATCCAGCCACCCCATTAAGTACATTCCTCCGGCTTTCCATGAATTCTCAACTATACCCATGGCACGCAGGGGAGTTTGGGTCTGGTCCCTCTAGCCGGAGGAAATCCTGCCCAGCAAAGCTGGGAGGCACAGTGGGAATTGCTCAAGTGCTGAAGCTTCACTCAAACCAGTAAGCTGTGCCTTGGTGCTGCAGGCATGTTTCCCGTGGTTTCTGCCAGGAGCCTCTAAAATGCCGGATGCTGTGCTGTGCCCATGACCTGCTTCCGTGCAAGGATTGAGGGAAAAAGGTCTCCAGACTCCATGGTTTGGGGACAGAGGGCTGGTGGGAGGCTGAGGCACGGAGGTGAGAGCACTGATAAGCCAGGCACCTCCCTGACAACTTTCCCCCTGCCAGGAATGCTGCAGCCTCGTGCACTTGATACTTTAATTGGCCCATGTGCACGCTGGACAGCTCTCTCTTTATTATTGTTATTATTATGCAATCAGACACTACTTACTTACAGAATGTGCTGGAGATGCACTATTTATACAGAAACTATGTACACTGAAACCCATTTTCTCCATGGTGATTGCAGATAATGTGGAAAGCTCTGGTTTGATTCATTAGTATAGCAAAAGAGATATTCAGGATTATTTGGTATAATTCACAGCACTTCAAAATGCATATATTTTCATAATACTGTAAATCTACCTCTTGGGCTGGTAACTCAAGCATATGACAACTGGTTTGCCATAGTGCTGTCATCTTGAAATTGTAGTGGTGCCACTTTTTCACTGAAACCTGGAAGCCCGTTTAGCACAGGATGCCTGAGGAAAGCCCTGGAGAACCCCCCAGAGTGAAGGGCCTGGGAAACTGCCAAACTGAGAACTTGTTTTCACAGAATCATAGAATAGCTTGGCTTGGAAGGAGACCTTGAAGAATATCTAGTTCCAACCCCTCAAAAAGGTACAACTCTAAAGTGATGCTCAGAAAAAAAAAAAATTAAATAATTTTGTTTCTTGAGTTGAAAAAAAAATAACCAATTAGTTAATTTTTATTAGAAGAAGAGTATCTTTTTTTTCAAAATTTTGTACCACTTGGTGGTGTTTTTTTTGGCAAGGTGAGTAAAGCAAACTCTTCAGATCAGCAATGAATCACTGGTACCTGCCCTCCCATTTTACCTCCATTCCTTTCTTACCTTATCAGGACCATCCTTCTGGCTGCACTGACCTGGGCATGGCTTCATTTAAGCCAGTGCTGGCTGAGCCTCCAGAGACTTGCCACTTACATTTACACTGATACCTTGGAGTTTTGATTTTTTAATTTTTGGGTTTAAGCACAGCTTTAAAGACAGAGTCTCGAAACTCTTTGTGGCCAGTGGTAACCTTTGGCAAATCCTTAGAATTTGTAAGTGTGGGTACAGATTATTTTTTTATCAAATGCAGATGGCAATTTCTGCCAGCCATTTACAATTTTTTCACCCAACCATCACAATGGACCTCACCACCCTCACAGCAAAGCTTGTCCAAGGCACCCTTGCAGATAAGATTTAAAGTACCACTACTTATGTGATTCATATTTGTCTTACGCTCCTGAGACCATAAAGTGGTTTGTTTTTTTTTCCTTCCCCCCATCACCTCTGTCTGACTTTACTGGGCACTGTAGTGTATTTGCACACCTCTGGAAATCAGTTGCACAATCTACAAGTAACTTTGGTTGCTTGGTGACCAGGGCTTTCCTTTTAGTATCACAGATTAAAATGTTTCAGTTGTCATCTGAAAATCTTCCTTTAGCCCCACTGAGTCTCCTTGGCCCATACCTGGCAAATGGAAATGTGGTCAGGCAGCCTTTTCCCTCAGTTCCCAGCTTCTCCCACCTCTGAACCTGAGTTTGCACATGTACCTGATTTAGCCAACTCAATTCCCTCTAATCAGTTATATATATATTTTTTAAATAATTGTCGGAAAAAATGCACAGAAATTGTAAGGCTCATTTAACAGTGAGAAGCTGCTTTCACTGCAGATATTCCCCCATGTATATATTTGCTTCTCTGTCTTAACACCTGAAATGTTTGGGAAAAAATGTAAACGTGGCCAATGACCGCATTTAATGCAGGAGATTTTGCACCTCTGGGCTCTGTATTTATAGCTCTGTCATGTTCCTTTCTTGTACTGACCTGAAGAAGAGGATTTTTTTTCTTATCTGCTGAAAAGGTTGTCTGTCATGGTGTGGTTATTGCAGCACAAAATACTGCCTAAAACTTGACCCTGAACAAATTTTGTACAAGGACAGTTTACCCCAGAATTCCAAAGGAGATGAAATCCTCCTCATGCAAGCCAAGGAAGCAATCTGCTTTGGGTATATAAAACTGGGAAGAGTCTAAAAATCCTTCCTGGAGCCTCAACTGAAATGCACTCTGATCCCAGCTGAAGCCATTTTCCTCCTAGTGTTACTCCACTGAACTTGGAGTTTAACATGGATTAGCATGGATTTTCATCAATGTGTGATTCAGAAATTCCAAAATTACATATATTAATCATTGTGTGGCTTGAAAAAAATTAAAGGTTCTTTCAGCCTTAGGAAATGATGCTGTTGTAAAACCTTACCTATAACCTTGGCATTCAAAGAGGGGCTGTGTTGTACTGATATCCACGGGCATCTCAGAGGGTTTTCCACTTGTATCCCATTACCTGATGCTCATTCTTCCTGGAAGGAAGGAAGGGGAAAGCAATGACAGTCAGGGCTTTTAAATGGGATCAGTTCTTTTATTTAAGAAGCCAATAAGTACAAAAAGTAAATAAACATTTGCAATGCTCTTTTCACCAGTGCTGCCTAGATCCCAGCATGGTCTGTACCCCCCCCTGGATGTCTTCCCAAAAGTTTGACTGCCTTGCTCTTTCCTACCTAGCCTGGACTCCTCCTGACCTTAATATAATTTGTGTTCAAAGACTTTTGCCAACCAAAACAGGGAATAATTTCTTTACAAATTAGTACCTTCATAAATATCACATGCCCTTCACATTGTCTATGAACAGACTATGATTTTTATTTTTTTTTCTATTAGATGTTTATTCCCAAAATAATTTGTGGAGGGAGGATAATTTTTCCTGCCTCTGTAGGAAATTCAAAGGTAAAACATGGTGTTTGTGCAGTAGACAAAAAGTGCTGTGCACACAGACTAGTTATGTGGGGCTGTTTCTTTTCCCTGATTGAAGGGATATGACTTAGGGAAGGTTCTTCATTTAAGAAAAGTGACGTGTTAGTTATCTGTGTTATTCATTCAGAATTGCTTTCTGCAAATATTTTTAGTGTTCTGGTTCACTCACTATTAGAATGGCTGGAGATAGTTAATGCAACCTGTGGTCCCCTTAATTATACAGGAAATATTTCATATGGCAGTGCAGGATTTTATTCTTATCAAAACCACAATTTTAATTAAGGACTTAATTACAAAATATTTAGTCATTCTGCTAAGTAGCTGGTCAGCCAATGCTCGTGGGTCCTTTAGGATCTTACCTGAGTTACTCTTCATTGTAATCAGGAACCTTCACTCTGGTAACTTTTGAAGAGCTGTAGGAAAAAAAAATGACCTTTAAAATTAAAGTTGAGTGCATGAGGCAGCTCTACACCCCTGGCCAAAGCAGAGGGCTGTGAACCAGCCCTGGTGGTTTGTTTTTCAGTGAGACACAAAGCCAAGAGGGGTCTGTTTTCACATGCTAATGAAGCCCAAGGTGACAGAAATTTGGCAGAGCCTGATCCCAGCAGTTACTGGCTAGGGCATTACTTTTAAACATCACTGAATACAAACCTACAGCCTAGGCTGGTCCTAAAACTTCATCTGAAATTAATCCAGTGCCAAATGCCATCTCCCTAGCCCAGATTTTTTGGCAAAGTGTTTTTCAGAGTAAGCAATACATATTTTGTTAATTTAAAAGTCCAGTGTCCAGACCCTGGATTGTTTACTTCCTCTCCAAAAATATACTGGAGATGCTAAAAGTCTCCAAAACATGCCCAGTGAGCTTCTAAGCTGAACCAGCAGGACAGGCTGCATTCACATAGGGTAGATGCATTTTAGAACATGTGTGCTGTGCACCATCACTCCTGTCTTCCAACTTCAGCAATGCTTCAGGAAAAATAGGGGAAAAAAATCAGAGAAAAATATAAAGGAAAGGCTTTCTTTGGCTCATTTGCCCAGTTGACTTTGTAGTAATGTTCCGACAACAGGATTTACATAATTTATTTTTTTAATGCCAAACATAAGTACCCTCTACATCCTGAAACTATCATGTTAGTTGATCCAACAGGAAGGTGATGCAAAATAATACCAATGTATAGTCATACCGGGCCATCAGGAGGCAAAAGGAAAAGTCAATTTGAGTATTACCTTGTCAGCAAAAAGTAACATTTTTGGAACTATTTTTAAAGTTCAGCTCCTGTGTTCCAAGCTCAACCCCCTGAGGTGTAAATGCAACAGATGCCCATATCTGAGTTGGTTGGGTTTGCTCTGAATCCCAGCTTGGGGAGACTCTGCCTGGCTCTGCCAGGTTGGCTTTGTCCCAGCAGTGCCACCCGCTGTACTGGGCACGGGAAGATGTGCCCACAAAAACTCCTCCAGAGTAAAACCAAACAGCAAATTCCAACCTCTGCCTCTGCCAGACAAGTGATTTTCCTTCAGGTGAACAACAGCTGTTCTTTGCCACTTCTTTCTGAGCAGGAATTCAGCTCTGTGATTTGACAGAAAATGTTTGAAATACAAAATTTTCAGGTGATGGGGGCAGAAATTTTCAGTTCCTTCAAGTTACTGTGAAATCAGTAAATAAATAATCCCGGGGTGTGGTATTCAGTTATCTCCCTTTCATTTTTTTCCCCCAGAAAGCAGTTTCCAGATGGATTTTCCCTAAGATGTTAATATTGTGCTGGTTTCAATGCTGATTGAAGCAAGGTAGCAAGTGGTTATTACAGGCCTGACATGCCTGTTCTGCCAAGAAACAGCGTGAGCTTTCAGCTCAGAAAACAAGGTGAACTTTGTTGTTTCATCAATCTGCTTGTGCCTGCCTTGGCCAGGTATGTGTGTTCATGCTCACAACGGGGATTACTTAATTTATGATCAGTTTATTTGGACTTTTCTTAGTCAAGACCTGATTAGCAAGGGTGGAAACAGCGTTCAACCCAAAGATTTTTATTTTTTTTTCTGGAAAACAAATTCTTCTTTTGAAAAATGAGTCTGCTGGCACTTGTCACCACCAAGTCTTCCCTTTTCCCCTTGAGTGCCAAACTGGTCACTGCCTCACTAAGCCATTAACTGGGAGCTACAGACTCCCTACCTGAGCATCTGCTGTTGAAATAGCAGAGGTTTGGAGCCATTTGGGGAGATTCTTGGGGTCATAAAGTTGGCCATGTGACTCTTGTTTCTTTGTCTTGGCTTAAAAACTAATGGAGAGGGAAATCATTCTTTGCTTCTCAGAGTGCCTTTGCAAAGAGAGCCAGTCTGTAGTTGTTCCTCTTGAGCATGAATTCCTGTTCCATCTCCTTCACTACCCAGATCTAGTCCAGCAGATCAGAGATGGGAATACAGGTCCATGTCAGTGTAAGGTGACACAGAACCAGCACTGAAAATGGGGTTTAAATGGTGGCACCAAATTAATTCAGTGGGATTTTGCCTGAGAAATAACATGCCAATTAAAGCATTACTCAGAAAGGTGTGTGCAGCACTTAGAAATACACCTTTAATAATGCTCAGGGTCCAAACATTTCTATGTTCTTTTTCAAATGCCTCCTTAGTCTCGTTTTTACTTAGTTTTCTTCCTTGAAGCCCAGTGCTGCTGTTAGGATGTGTGTGCTTGTATTGGTGTGCATGTGTAGGCCCATGATTGTTTCTGCTGCAGAAACAGGTAATGTAGCTACTGTTTTCTGAGCTGAATTACTATTTTGGCAAAGCATGGATGTCTGAGGATATGAAAACTGCTCCGCCACCTTAAGGGAAAAAATTCCATAGGTTTTTGAGTCCATATTTTCCAGTTTTCCACTCCTCAGTTACAGGCTCATGTTGAAAAATATCTTCCAGTGTTAGAACTTCTGAAAAGCAAACCTCAGAAACTGGTAGAAAGCTCAGTCTCCAGGCAGGACTGTCTGCTAATAAGGGAATAAATACAGAATAACACAAACAAATAAATACTAACTAATACCAAAGTACACCTACACTTCCAAATTGCTTCCTCTATTCAGATTCTTGCCAGTTAAGCAGCACGGCAGCATCAGCTTTCCTCACATATTGTAGCCTGAGAAAACAGCTTTAAAGGGCCAAAAGAAGCAAATAAAATGTATTTGCTATTCCTGCTGACCTTAGGCAGGCAGTATGTGGAGCTGCGGGAATCATACACGGAATCTCTGATTATAAGTATGGTGATAACTGGTAAGACTGTGCTGAACTACTGTGAAACAATTCAGGTAGTCAGCAAACAGGGCTAATTGCTAGTTTGGGGGATATTATGGGTAATTTACTGCCCACTGAGGGCTTCTACCTAAAAATAAGCTTTTTTCTTTTTTTTTTTTTTTCCCTTTGGACAGCACTTGCATGTTAATGTAGAATTCCTGATGCAATTACATGTGAAGAGGACATTCAGATGCACTTCCATAAATGCCCTTCTGCTTCTCAATTACATTAACTGTCTTTGTAGATCCTTTGACAGAAACCATATTCTTCACCTTTTTTTTTTTTAACCAGCAAACAGGCACTAAGCTAGACTTTGCTGTTATCCAAGGTGTCCCGATCAAAGGGCTGAGAGTGATACAATAAACACAAGAAAAGAAACTACTGGTGGTTTCCAATGCAAACGAACGGGGAAGTGTCAAGTGAGCAGCTATTGACAATTCCAGCCCCAAAACCAAATGTTCGTGTGCGAAACTCCACCTCTGAGAAGGAAGAATAAATACCCACAGAGAGTGTTTTGGCTATAATTACTTCATTTAAGGGGAGGGGGGGGAAAAAAGTGCTGAATTCAGTTTGCTGAAGTCAGGATATTAATATTTTTGGCATGTAAAGATGTAAACCAAATGTTTAAATGAAATGTCATCCCCTGGGTTCGCATTTGCCCATTGAACTACGGTACAAACCCTCTGCAGACCTTCATACAATACACATTTTTCAGTTCATTGAAGAAGGCCCCTGCTGCTTCTCAAGGAAAACTAACTTGCAGAAGCAAAATAAATAGTGGCGTGGCCGCGCAGCAGCGGAGCCTCGGAGCGCAGATGTGCAGCACTGTGGGCCGCCCCATCAGATAAGGAGCGCTCAGACATAATCGCCCCAGTGTCTGGGACACGTCGCACGCGGCAGAGCTGCCCAAGTATGGCCTGACAGGCACACGCAGGGTGTGCTCGGGCAAAATGGCAACGAGCTGACAGCATTTCATAACAGTCCTGTTATGTCTATGGGCAAGTGTTTGTGTAATTTAGCTTGGGCTTTGAAATAGGTTCAGGGCTCGGGACACAAACGGGGCTTTGTGATGAGTTGTCGGTGATGTTGTACCTGCTGGAGGAGGACGTTGGCCCAAGGAAGGGAAAACCTTGGGGTGTCGCACTGGGAAGCCTCTGTCGGTGCCGTCGTCTGCCCATCCGACCAGCAGGGCTGCTCCTGGAAAAATATGTATGTGTTTTTAGATCTTTTTACAGGAGAAGGCCACCATGATGACAAGAGGGGTGGAGCACCTCTCCTGCAAGGAAAGGCTGAGAGAACTGGGACTGTTCAGCCTGGAAAAGAGAAGGTTTTAGGGTGACAAATACATATATATACTACATATACATATCTATAAATGTGTGTATATGTACAAATACAAATACGTATCTATACATGTAGAAAATATAGTTATATATATAATAATTTTATATATTTTATATATTTTATATATGCATTTTATATATATCTGTATCGGTATGTATAAGTATAAAAACAGATGTTTATAAATATATAAAATAAATGTATGTGTGTATATATATATATATATGTGACCAAATGTTTAGCTGTGGGCCCTGCTACACTATGGCATTCAAAGGGTTACTGATATCTACTTTTAGGCAGGACACCTCTAAAAAAAGCAAAGAAAGTACATTTGACCCTACAGAAATACAGCTCACTGGGTCTGTGGTAGTTCCTATTAAGATATACAAAGTATCTCAGCAAGGGAAAATTTAACTTACATACAACACATGATTTTAAGTAAAGAAATATTGATGGGGCGGGGGGGAACAAGTATTTTTTTAGCTCTAATTTATGGCTGAGCAGCTTCATTTTAGTTACTTCATGGGAATATTTTAAACCAAGCCTGCATAATATTAAAATAAGTTAAAATGTATGTAAAATTTATGAGAGCATGTCAGGTGCAATGCTTGATAAAGTAAGTTTAATGCTTCAGAATTTTTTTCTTCAGGCAGAGAAAGCTGAATCCTGCAATTCTAGGTTACAGTATAATTTTAGAAACTCTTTTCCATTATACCATTCTTTTATTAATGAGATCCAACCCAATTTAACAAAAAGAGGTAAATTCCTAAAGAGTTTGTGGAAAGTCCTCAGCAGGTTGGAGTGTGTGATAAAAGAGGGTATTCTCCTGCTGTTCATAGGATCTATCCCATTTTATAAAAACACAGAGGAAATCAATTTACAGCAAACTTTCCAAGGGTGCCCCTCCAGTGCGGTTTTCCTTCTGGAAATGCTGCCTGGCTCCGTGAACAAACAAAAGCTTTGCCAGTTGACAGGGGCTGTACATCACTTTGAAAACTCTTCATTTACCAGGGGTGTGTCATGTTGCTTCATTGTGTGACACTCCCAATTATCGTGACAGTGCTAAATGACAAAGTACTGTCACCCCCCTGAAAATTCAGAGCAGCTTCTTCCCATTTTTCCGCCTGGTCATGGGAACATCGCTGAGCCGGTACAAAGGAGCGGCAGGAGCCTCAAACAGGGGCTGGAATGGCTGCGTTCTGCTCTGCTGTATTAAAAATTCAGCTCCTTGGCAATATTAAATCTGAATTTACTTCCATCAAACGGAAACTTAGCATATCTCATTCTTCCATTATAAAATATTGACATCGGGAATAGTGAATCCTGAAATGAAGATTGTAGATGAAAACTATGTGCTTGGTAATTATCTTTTTTTTTTTTTTTTGTTATTATTCCTTTCCTCTGAGGATTGCACAGGCTGTTGCAAACAGTAATGAAGTTAGCATGCAGTGCCAATGCAAAGTGTGCTGCAAAGTTAGCCCTTCCCTCATTATGGATGAGGGAAGCGAGGCAGCGGGATTGGGGTGATTTCCCCAGCCAAACTCACACACAAGCAGGGCAGCCCTTCGCCTCACGTCTTAATCACCATCCCTGGTGATGAGACCCTCAGTGCCATCTTGTTCCTGTCTTCTTTTGTTTTGCTGTTTCCCTGGGTTTTTTTAGGTCTTGACTGGGGCTCAGAGCTATTAATATCAATGACACTTTTTTTTGTCACAAACTAAACAGCCAGTTCACAAATCCTTTCACTCCCGACAAATCCACTGCCCTGTCTTGCAGTGCTCTTGAATAACCACAGCACTGGAAATATACAGTTACAGGTGTGGAAATATCCAAGCAATCATCCCAACAGCCACAGTATGAAGAGATCAACACACTGGGCAATCTGCACTAGAACAACCCTTTGGTTCCTGCCTGTGGAAATTCCACATGGCTTGGGATGGTTTCCCAACAGAAGAGCTGTGTCATCACCCTGCTGAAATTCAAACTTGGCCAATTAACTGGCATCTCTCTCCAAGGTGATGATCACTCAAGAGAGGTCCCACACAGCACAGTTTGCAGGTGCTTACTGAGCACCTCCACATAATCCTGAAGCCTCCTGGTTGCCCGTGGATGTGCCCGAGGAGTGCGATATATCCAGCGAGTATCACCGGACACCGCGTCTGTCTCAGAGGCTTCGTACAAAAATCAATCTAAATCAATAAATTGTCCACCCTCCTCATGCAGCATTTGCAGAGGTTCAAAGACAGGACCAATTACTCTTGAGGTTGAATTGTCAGTTGTCAGATGAGAATATAGAAATTGAAGCATTATGTTTAGGAGCAGATTTATTTAGAGGACCTGAAGAATTTGCTTTGCTATCAACAGGTCTATAAAGAGAGCTTTTATAGTACCTCTGGCAGAAACTGATTCCTTGAGAAATAATAGGGGGAGTGTTGGTTTGGATTTTTTCTTTCCTCTTCTTTTTGCACAATTCAATCACAAAGCAGGTAAACTCACACCCAAGCTCATCGTAGTCAAGGCAGTTAAGCTCCTGACCTTGAAGGGCTTTTGGTCCCAACCCTCCTTGCCAAACAGTTACCCTTTCATTGCCCAATTTTCTAGGTGAAGATGAAAATTCCCCGTGCTTCACTTATGGATAATATATAAATGTCTTTATCATGCATTCAGTTTCTTGGGTTCAGTCCCAAAACTGAGACCCCGACCACTCTCCAGGTCCGAAGGTGAACCTTGTTGTCCCTGCCAGAACCGCAGCACACAAATACCACACCTTATTCTAATCACACAAGATGTTCCCGAGTTTACCAGTTCTCATCCCAGAACACCAACTCCCCCCCTCTCTTAGCACTCCTGACAAATCAATATGCATTATTATTACGTGCTCAGATACAACATCAGATTTCTGCTCATGCCAAAATTTCAGCTTGCTGTTCCCTGGAGTATTTATGCTTGTGTACTGTATTTAACAACAGCCCATTCAAAATGCTCACAGCTCCTAGGAATGAAATGCACATAATTTAGGAATAGCTGTCTGGCTATTCAGGCATCATGCTGTGTCAAGGGAAAATTAAATCTCTGACTCTCCCCTCTCTTTTAAAACAAACCTGTACTTTGCATCATATTTTGGGGAGCTACATGGAAGTTCCATAAAGAGCAAGCGAGCATGGCTCTTTTTCCTGTTTAATGGCAGTGCCTCCCCATTAATGCTCCAAAATGATACAGTAGTTTAAAAAAAAATGCTCTCAGCATGCAGGCATTGTATCACATTAAGAAATCACGATTTTCTAGGCACTGCACAGCATTAATTACACTGAGCATGCTGCAAATTTAAATTAAATGATATGCCATGTTCTGTTGTAAATATCAAAATGGATTGCAAGATACAGCCCCATATTTGCTTCTGATTGGCATTTGTGCACTGAACAGGATCAGAAAACCTCTATGATATATAATTTTTTTGTTGTTTTTTAGGAGCACCTGATGCAAATGTACTTTTTATTTTCAGGAGTACCTAAGAGCACAATTATGGGTCAGAACTTGTCTGTAATGAAAAAAAAACCACAACCAAACAAACCCTCCCTCAATAATAATAACAATAAAACCACAAAAAAGCCCTCTTTGCCTTCATTCCCCCCTCCTAACATAACAAAATAAAATACGTTTCTCTCCCCAGAATTAGTACTTAGAATATAGAGAATGGAGGGGCACTGAGAGGAAAATGGGGAATATGAGGGACTGAAGCAGGAGGATCTTATTTTTGTCATGGAGTTGAGTATCCAGGGTACAATTAAGCAAATGTGGGGTTCAAATCACCCCAGCAGAGAAGAGCTGCTCTTTACAGCTGGAGTTTAAGGCAGAAGAGGAGTAAGGGTTGAGCTGGGCTTGGGACTGGCTCAACTCTGTTGTGATGAGGGAAGCCTCATTTGATAATTCTGTGAGAAAAAGTGAAAAGAATATAAGCAATAAAAGAAGGCCTGTTAGTATTTGTATTTTTCTTGGCACAGATATTTTGCAGTTTTATAATATCAGATTTTGTCACAATCTCACGAGCCTCTGCCCTTCGACACTGGGGTGAGGTGTATTTCTAGTGTAATTTCACCTATTTCGACGTGATTAAATACTAAACAAATATTTTACAACTTTGCACATCAGAGAAAGGATGGCATTTAGTTATTTCTATAGAGACAGCATTAAAAAAAAATTGTATTTTTAAAGACTGATTTAAGACCTTTAGGAAACGATGATCCCTGAGCTGAGAATCACAAGGTGAGTGCCAGCCTGAATAGGCACAAAAGCATGAGAAATAAAGAGAGCACAGCAAAAAAATATGGGCAGGGACATGCACAGCTACCAAGATGTCTTCAAACCCAGGATCACCATATTCTTTCTAAATTATCTTTTCTGTGTCTTTTGCTTTTAGGACTTAACTCCAGTTTTCCTGGCCTATTTTGCAGCAGTCTTTTATGTACAAGAACAACTCTGGAACAAACAAACAAAAAATAAAAAGAGCAGCCTGGTCTAACCCAGAACAGTGGATGGACATTGAAACCAAGCTGAGGATGCCTCAACCTTCTAAAATCTTTTTCTCTGAAGAAAAAAATTCCTCTTGAGTCTTCCTCAGTCTGAAGTATGTTTCTGCTGGTCAGGAGTGAAATATTCTTATGAGCTTTTTTTTTTTTCCTTCTGGGCATCAGATAAGACAGTCTTTGTCCCAGGTTTTACTGGAGCTCCCAGAGTCTCCTTTGGGAATGGTTCTGTGTGTTCAGGAGGTGGTTGGTGACTGCAGTAAAACCTGTATGAACCTGAGATGGTTGTTCCTTTGTGCATCAATGTCTCACTGACACCAAGGTGGCATATTCAGCTTTTAAAGGCATGTTTTTCCCTGGGAGCAGCACAAGGACACTGAAGGGTGTCTGACTTCCTCCTGTGTCCAGAGGGTGGTCAGTCAGGTGAGAGGGGCACCATCAGACAACCCCTCTCCATAAGCACTGTACACCTGATGAAAATAGGTGTTTGAGAACTGGCCTTCAGCTCTCTCACCACCTCTCAGTGCTTGCAGAAAAAAAAAAGAAGACAAAAAAAACCAAACCAAAGACAGTTTATGTGCAGCTCAGGAAGCTCTCAGCAATGAATGTGTCTGTGATTTAATAACACATCTACCCAGAATGACACTTCTCCTAATATTTGCTGAGAGAAAGAAGGCAGAGCAGTGTGGGGCAGAACCAGCACACAAGGCATTGCTATTGCAAAAACAAACAGCTAAACTACCATATATTTATTTTTCAATATGCATAGTTGTTGGAATTGGAGAATGAAAATTATTCCTTGACACTCTGATGGAACCATAGAAAGCCCTGTGCTTCCTCTCACTCCCATGGTCCTGACAAGAAACAATCCACAAATTCTAATAAGTAGAAAATAGAAATAAATACTTTTAACTACTGGCATCAGGTTGGAATGGTTTTCTGAATTGGGAAGTGCTGCTCGTACGTCTTCCTTATTTCTGCACCCTGTAATGGTGGCTCTCCAAAAGTCAGAGTCAAAGTGAGATAGATACTACAAGGATCACAGACACTACACTGGGAAACCAAGTATCAGTGGTGCATCCAGATTTATGGTAGGTGATGGCAGTAAAGTGAAAGCAAAACTGTTTGCACAGTCTGTATTGTTGCCCATTACTGTGTATTTGCCCTTTTTTCTTGCTTAGCCACAGCTGCAAGAATGGAAAATTGTACCTTCTGTACAGTATTAGGAGACACTTTCTGATCGTAAGGTCAATCAGACCAGTTTAGCTGCTTGAGGTATTTATGGCACAATCACTCAGTGTCTTTAAGGAAAGGTTAGATACATTTATGGGAAAGGTATTTTGCAGAAGCCTTCCTGTTTCATAGAGGTCTTGGACAAAATGACCCAGGAGGCCCCTTCCAAGTCTATCAAATGTGGTTCCCTGATTGATGCTGTTTCCCCCCAAAGTCTTTCAAAACACAAAGCACTGTTATAAAATTTAATATGATACACTATATAACTTTAACACAATGCCATTTTCTTATAGGAAATGGTTAGCTGGTAGCAAAGGAGCCTCGTGCAAAAGGAAGAACGGGAGGAAAAAAGAAATTGCAGTGCAGTTTCTCTGCCAAGGGATATCGACTATAACATTTACACTCTGTCTTAGTATGGACCCTCAGCTGTGCAGGGGGACAGCGAGGCAGGGAGGGATATCAGTAACCTGGACTGTGGTATATATTTCTCCAGAAAAGCCCAACAAGGCCTGAGGTAATTTTCTATGCTGAGCAATAAGCATTACCTCAGTGCTGCAAAGCAAATGGACACGCAGATCTCCTTGTGAATCACTGCTTGGTGCTGTAATTTGCTGAATGTTTACTAAATTGACTGGTTTTTTTTTTCCTTTTCAAACCACTCACATATTTAAAAGTTAAATTCATGTTAATGGATTAAAAAAACAAAACAAAACAAAAAACAACAACAACAACAAAACCAAAAAACAAAACAAAACAAACAAAAAAACAACAACAAAAAAAACCAAACAAAAAAACCCAAACCAAACCAAAACAAAACAAAAAGAGATTCTGTGGGTCATTTGGTTGAGATGTTCTGGTTGGCCTCCACTAAGTTTTAATTTCATGTCCTCACAGGTCAAAAAAAAAAACCAAAAAAACCCCAGGACTTTATTGGAGTTTACTCTCAAAACCATTTTATATAAACCTTTTTATTTCCACTCCAGCTGATTTAGTTAACAGACAGACTCCTCTTCCAAAAAACAGCTCCCTGCCCCGTCTTCTTGGGATAGCCCTGACAGGAAATAACAACATCCATACACAGACACTCTGAAGCCTTTTGAAGTCTCACAAATGTGAGCTGTTCCCTTTTGCAGAGCAGGCTGGGATTAACTTTTTTATTAACCTTCTAACCTCATCCATGAGAAAGAAAAATAGCCAATCCCCCCCGCCCCCTTTTTGTTTTTAATTTGGAAGCTTGCATCCTTCTTTACCTAAACATTCATGTGCTCACCCTATCAACAGGAGAAAAAAAGCCCATGGAAAGCTCCCTTTCCATGAGGAGCTCCCCAAAACCCCTCTAGGGCCCTTCCTGTTATGTTGTACTCAAAGTTTGTGTTTTCATGGGAAGAGACATTTTCCCTTTACCATAAAGCTTGGGTCTCTCTATTTGAATCATATTGGCAGGAGCAAATCACAACCTTTTCATTCTTTTCAACGTGTTGCATCCATGTATTTTCCTGATTCCCGTGTCAAAAAAAGTGACTTTTAGCAAAATGAAAAATCTGCCCTGGCTGTAATCCTGACAGTGCTACCATTGCTCATCCTTAGCTCCATCCCTGCATTGCAGTGCAGAGGAGGCACTCACATCAGAATAGCTCTTCTCCCTTCAGACAAAACGGTAAAAATTAGCCCCAGAGAGTGACATGAGCAGAAATTTCAAAGGCAGGAAAATTTATCTCCTGCTCTTTGTCTTACAGTATGGTGCACTGTAGTGGTTGGAAGATTTAGCTTCCAAGCATCCCATCTATATAAATCCTACTGGACAAGAGCTCTCCGGCTTCGTTTTCAGGGCGGTTGAGCTCAGCAGCTGGAATCTGCCAGGGAGTGAGGGTCGAGATAAGGAAGGAGAAAAACTTGCCTGTAGCTTTCAGGTGTTGGTCAAGGGTCAAGATTAGGAAACAGCCAAAGCCAAACAAACCTCTCAGCTCCATCTCCTTGGTGTGGTGCATGAGGTCACGGCTATTTGGCACAAGGATCATGATTTTGGGGCACCCCTGTCTCTCCTCTGCTGCAGCTCAGCCCATTAACAGCCCTGATGATACAGTCCCTCTTGGGGTTTCCCCTTTTGAAAGGTTTATATTTGGTTTAAATCAATTGCATCAAAATTGAAAGCTCCACTTTAGCTTTTAGGAAGCCAAGACACTTAAAAATCTCCAGTGGGAAGGACAAGTGAGGGAGGCAAAATATCTCTCCCTTGTAAAGGCATTTAAATGAAACCACTTTGATGAGAAGTTTCCAGCTGCTTTGCTGGGAAAAAAGACACATCCCAGTCCTATCATGCAGGGGTGCCCTTCACACCAACAGGCAGAGAAAAGAGGTGGTGGGAAGAGTGAGAGGCACCAAAATAATCCATCTGCATTTTTTGCCTTCTTTGATCTTTGAAAATGGGAAAACCCATGCAGGATCAGGAATTTCCAACCTGGGCTGCATGCACCATTAATTGTGCCATGAAGCAGAGCTGGTTTGCTATTGTTGCCTTCTGCACAAAAAGCTGTTACTGTGAGCTCTTTGGGGCTCAGGAACTCCCTTTCCCAGTTTTCAGTTAATACTTCAATGATTATACATAAATAATAGTAACGGTAATCATAACAATACCTGGCTTGCCATTATGTTGTACTCAGGGCTTTGTGATGCCTCTCTCACGATAAAATCTGTGCATTAAATACTTTAATTGAAACTCTTATTAAAACAGAGGTATTTTCACTTGTGCAGTTATATTCACATAATGATCACAAAGCACTTTACAGAATCAAATAAAAGTGGCCAGCCTGATTCTTCTATAGAAGATTTTGTGCATTTCAGTAGCATATAACAAAGCTGCTCAACATACAGTTAATTGTCAAACATACCATATTCTGGGCTTAGCAGCCTCCAAAAAGCTTGGGGTTTGTCCTTCAGATTGTTCTCAAAGTCTGTAATGCCACCACAAATGGCACAAGAGGGACTGGACGGTCTCACCAGCTAGACAAGAGCAGGCTGTGAACATTTGTGCCTGCATCAAAAGCCCTGTTTCAGAAAGAAAATAGAAAAAAAAAAGGTTATAATTTTCCTGGTTTAGAAAAGTCTTGATGTGCCATGGAGCTGAGTACTGAGCAGCCTCCATGGGGTCACCGAGAGAGGACAAGGCAAAACCTGCTACTGCAAATTCTAACTCCAAATGCTGCCTCACAAGGTCTGGGAGGGGTCTCAGGCTTTGGGCCTCGTAATAGGTAGTTCTGGAGCTGTGAGATGGTGAAGAGCTTTGTTCCCTCGTGTATAATTGATAAATTACCATTGTTAGTACTAAACAATACTACTGAGCACAGAATGGAAACACGCTAATGCTTTATCCATTTCGAGCAGTTCTGCTCCTGTGCTCATACTGTTCTTAAATGTGCTAGATATTTGTTTGATGAAACAATAAGTTTTAGAAAAGAGAAAAATAAGAACTTTAAAGATAATAAAAACCTTGACTGCATACTTTACGACAGGCAGCTGTGAATAAGCTTCAGTACTCTTTATTTTTAACATTCCAGATATGTAATTTAATGCAGGTCTAATGACAGTCTCGAACATACTGCTTTAATCGAAATTGTTCAAGCTCTGTTCTGTGACAAGGGCTCACAAGCTACCAGCAGGGTTGTCCATTTTCCCCATTTCTGTAGGGAAAAGAAAAGGGAGGGGAGGGGGACACTCTTGAACTTATGTTGCTATTGATGTGTAATATACAATAAAAAAACAGTTAAATTTCAATTACCCACAGGTAATTATAATTTTATTGTTTGACTGTACTATGGGGATTTTTGTAATTCCCAAGACTAATAATTTTCTATAATTTTACAGGTTGTCAAATAAACTATTAAAGATTATCTTTGAAAAGGATTCTGCAATTGTAAGGACATATCATACTGTTCCTGTACATTATTAGTAATTAGAGATCCCTGGATAGTGAAATATCTGCACTATATGCTAGCTGCTGGATACCATATTTTCTCACAGCCTCCTGTAATCTTGAACCAAAGCTTTCAAACTTCTCAGCCATTGTAGCCTGAGTCACGTCCAAACTTTTATTAATATTCACTGAGCACTCATTAAGCAATTCTGGTGCGTTCGATACGTTAAATCTCTGCTTCCTGATGGGGAGAAGCAAAGGCTCCCAGGTCCACCCCGGAGTAGTGGAAATAAACACAAAAGGACTAATTCTGAACTCTGTCCCCTGATGAGGATATGGGGAAGAAGCAACGTTTATAGCAGCACAAATGATCTGAATCTGTCCTGAATGCCTTTTGACAATGATGTGGCTGGCACAACAAGAGGGAATTGTGCTCTCCAGATTTTATTCTGAAAATAAGCATAGATGCAAATATGCTTGGGATCAGCATTGGCTTAACTCAAGGAGGGGGAACGGGATGGGCAAAGTCTCCAGCCCACAAAAAGCAAGAGATTTTGGGGTATTGCCTCGTCCTCATCAGTGAGTCCCCCTATATTCACTGAGACTTTGGTGAGCACTCCCCAGGCCACTTTCTCTGCCATTCCAGAGCTCAACATCCACAGAGCTCAGGAAGGCAGGCAGCAACTGCTCCCAGGTTAGCTGGCAGCAGCCACAGGCCACTAGAGCAGCATGTGCTGGGTGACAGCTCCCTTCATCTGTGCACGCAGTGCTCGGTGAGATACTCAGAGCCTTACAGGGGTGTCACCTGAGCAGGACCAGAGGAGGGATGAGCTGAGAGGAAAAGCAGACCCCAAAACGTTGCACAGAGCATCTGGGCACAGGCTGTGAGGGCAGCGAGTGTAAAACCACACAAGGGGATTAGCAGCTGTAGAGATTGTTGATATCTCGCCTGCAGAGCCATCAAAGGCACCATTCTTAGCTGGCAGCATTTTTTTATTGCAGCTGCCCCAGGAGAGAGTCATTATTTGTTTTATTGGCCTCTTGGATTGCTGTGTGGTGGAGGCTCTGTGCAGAGGGAAACTTCAGCACATTAAGATTTCCTTCTGGGCTGAAATCATGGTATCAGGACGTGAAGACTTTCACACCTCCACCCTTACTGGCGTTTGCACGTCCCCAGCTTGTGGGACACCAAGCAAGAGCATCATCCCACAGCACTGGACACATCTGCAGGGAGGGGTGTGCCTTCCTCCCGCTGCCAGGAAGCCTCTGTGGCAGCTGTAGTGCTCAGCAAGGGACCTGGTGAGGGATTTCCCTCACACCAGGGAGCGTGGAGGGTGGATTGTGCTGGTTTTATGGCGGTGTGGAGCTGCTGGAGCAGTATAAAGATACGGGAGCACAGGGAAGGATTAAGGCCAATGGACTGCAGCTCTCTGACTTCCTCTAGAGACAACTCTGATCCAATCCAGTGTATTAAATCTGAACAGTCAGTATAGATACACACACTGAGCTCTCTTTTGCAGGGTCTGCTTGTCTCGCTGTCCCACGCTCATCCTGCACCTATGGGAAGGTGTGGGAAGAAGGATAGTTGATAACTTGGAGAGCTCTTCAATCAGTGGCATTTCCTGCTCCTGATGGCCTCTCTGCCTACTAACCCATCTCAACGAGACTGAGCCCATTACTCCAGATGACTGGCATTTATAATAAATAGAGAGGAGAAAATCCGGAGCCCAGAGAGAAGGCTCAGTATGTTTCTGGATAACAGATGATGCCATATACAAATACACAGCCCTCTTTCCCCTCAATTTTGGTCTGTGTTTTGCCTGCTTAACACATTCCTTCTTGCAAGTAGAACACGTTCTGACAATTGAATAGTGAAAGCAATTAGAAACGGAATTAATTGATAAAATTAAAGCCCTGCTTTCCTTATGTTTGTCATATGACTACAAATATTGTCACTCCCATTAATATTAATTAATATAATTATCAATGTTTCTAATCCCTACACATTTTGTTGAAAAGTTACTCTTAGCTCAAGAATATAATTGTTAAGTCGTGGAAATGTTAAGTAGCAGCTAAGCAAGTCCAAAGAATTAATAGCAAACTGTAGTTTATCCAGGGATTAGACTTTTAGCAATACATAATCACCTCTTCATGTGTTCATCCACATAAAATACCTTCCATCCCTCACTACACTTCTGCCTACTTGTCCTTGCAGAGCACAGTTTTCAAGAATTAAAAAAAAAAAAAAGGGGAAGATAGTAAGTAAATATTCTTTGCAGTTGCAAAACCTTCTTCAAGGTAAGTCACTGCACTAAGAGTTATGTGCCCTCAGCTGAAAGCAATGTCAAGGTCAATTATCTCATGCTGAAAGCCCTAATGCAAGAGACTTTTGTGATCAGAATAATATATGTAACATTGCAAAGCCTTTGTTTTGGGGTTGAGGAAAGCAATTCCACTCTCTCTAGGCTTCCCGACGCGTTGTGTCTCGGTTTTGAATGTCACGGATTATTCCAGTCATCCAAAGGACTGCCTTGCCACGCTGCTGCCATTTGAACAGCTTTTCCTGTGCTGAGGGCGCCGGGATGTGGAGCAGAGCCTTCCTTCCCTGCCACCTGCCCGGTTCCTCGATGGACAGTCAGCAATTCCTGCCTGGCAAAAGCATCCCAGCAGTCGTTCTACATGGAGTATTAATCAACTCCTTTGGAAAACAGCCAAAGTGCTTTAAAGGCCTTTGTTGTAGGTTGGAGGGTTTGTTTTTTTTTTTGCTGCTAGAAGAGAATAATGTAATCATTTTGCTATTAATTTTTAATTGTATGTTGCTATGCTTTATTACCAATCTATACTGATTTTCCTGAGAGAAACGGGGATGCTGTGCAAGTGGTATCTGTTGGGAACATGTTGGGTCACACTGCAAGAGAAGTGACAGGAAAAAGCTGTTCTTTAAAGTTATTGCAGTCACCTGCTGCTGTCTATTCCTACAAAGTATCACATTAAATACTTCTAAAATGTATGAGCTTAAGAAGATTCATGGAGAAGGGCCACAGTTTTCCCTGTTGTCAGATGTTTTACTTTGCTTGTTTTTGTTGTGTTTTGTTTCTTTTTCCTTGCAAAGGGTGGCCATTTAAAAAAAAAAGGAAAGTTATTTCTGAGAAATCTTTTGCAAGCAGACCAAACTCACTGACACGGATGAAATCAGCAGCCAGAGTAGGAAATACTTATACATGAATTCTTCTTGGAACACAATCATTATCAAAAATGCTAAGATTCAGCCCACTGATACAGGAGATAGTGGTAGAGAAATGATTGTATCACTCCCTTGTATCCTTCATTTCATCTAAGAGAGAGCTGGCCATGAGGGGACAGGAAATCTTTAATCTCCATTTCTTCAAATATCTGGTTCTTATCAACCCACACTGAACGTGAGCCACACAAAAACTTAATGACGTGTCCTCCACTTAATAAACCAAATGCAAACAAAGCACAGACAGTTCTCTAGTGTGAGATGGATTGATCACAACTAAATATTACATGGGAGCAAGTCTGCAAAGCAGTTGTGGAAAGGCAGCATAGCTGTAAATTCAGGAAGAAATTAATTAGACAAAAAAAAAAGTGTGTAAAAAGTCTACAATATGCAGGAGGGTAAGTGGCAGGAGGAAGGTTAGAAGGACCCTTCATCTGTTCATCCCAATACCTGAATATTGTCCTTTGCCAAGAAAAATCATGGCTTTTTTTCTCTTGAATCCCTAATACTAGTTATATATTTCTATACAATACTATTTGTATTATGTAATAAACAGAGAGGAGATTGTATTATGTTGTATTCTATAATGTATAATGTATAGAATATATATTTTATAATATTGCATTAATGAAAATAATATGTAAATGTAATGTAAATAATGTAAATAGTATATATTCTATATATATTCTATAATATATATAATATATAAAATATATTATATATATTCTATAATATATAATGTATATATTACATATATATGTATACATGTATATATATAACATATAATATATATAATATAATA